AAACCAAATGTTACTGATCTACTGAAAAAAAAAATGTAGCAATAAAATGACTCCTAATGACATTCTGCTCTGTTCATAGATCAGTGCCTTGCTCAGTCATCATCAGGGAAGCTCCATCCTGCTGCAGATGGGAACAAATACAGCGATGCATAGGCAGATAATATGCAGAATGAGAGACCTTGGACCACCTAGCTCTAAATTGGTCTCTCCACCAATTCCTTCTCTTCAGGGTGCAGAGAACCCTAGGGAAGAGCTGGTAGAAAGGGTGTAAAAGCTGGGAGAGAAGACACAGAAGAAACAAAGCTGTCAAAATAAACAAGAACGACACATTTATAAACTCACAGAGACTGTGGCAGCATCCACGGGGTCTGCATGAGTCTCTTAACAAATGGAGTACTGGAACTCAAAGGTGAGGTAGACACATGCCTCCATCCCTAACTCAGAAGTTATCTCTGGTTTAAACCACTTGGCAAATAAAAATTTTGCCAAGGGAGTCTTACTGAAGGATACAAACTCTCTTAAAGGTAGGCCTCATGCCCGGCAGTAAATGTCCAACAGAAAATGAACACAAGGGATTTTTGGATGATTTTTGTCTTCTTGCTGTGTCAGCACTTTTCTAAAAATCTTTATCTCAATTTTTATTTTATTTATATTTTCTCTCTTTTTTTTACCATATATGTCATTTGTATATATATTATGTCTTCCAATTCACTGTTTTATTTTATTCTTGAGTGTGCCAATGAGTTGGTCTCTGAACATACGTGTTTCTTGAGCCTTCTCTTAGGCTCTTTTCCTTCAATTTTTTTTTAAATCCTATCCCAGCATGTTTTTATTTTACCTTATTACACTGTATTTTTTTAAAAAGATTATTTTTATCCATTGGAAGCCTGTTTGTTTTCTAATGACAGATGGGGGTGTGTTTGGATGGAAAGGGAGGTGGGAAGGAACTGAGAGGAGAAAAGGGGGAGAGTGTAATTGGGATATATTACATAAGGCAAAAACCTATTTTCACTAAAAAAAAAGAAAGGTATTAAATTTTCTTTCAATTTAGTTACTTATCTTTTACACACCAAAGAATGCTATTGTTTGTGGATTAAAAGGAAAACATCTCTTCAATATATATAAGCAAAATCAGAATAAAAGGATATTATGTAAAGTGTTAATGCCATGAATATTTAACCTCTTACACATATGTTACACATATATTAAAAATCTAAAATATACAACAAAATTTTGTTGTCACATTTGTAAGAAATATTTTTTACATATATTGCTAGTGTATATAATAATGGACCTTCAACTGGAAATACATTGACTCTCCATAAAAGAAACATTTAGTCTAAAAAGATGCAAGCTTGTATAGGAGATAACATATACAGAAAACCATTCATCACCACATTTTATTATAATCATAATAGTAGAAGACTAAAAATATACACACAAAACAAATCTATAATTATCAATAGGGGCATATTTCAAATATTTCATATTTGAGTTAAATACATCTTTATGAAGAAATCTTTCATATTTTAACTTTGTTCTCACATTTGTATATCAGTTTTGTTATAAAAAAGAAGATAGGTAGCCTGTAACCACATGGAAATTTGAGATCAAGACCCAAAAGGAGACACAAGAGGTTATCTAAGACTGTCAGAAGAGAATTCATATGAATTCCCTTGCCTTGAAAAGGATCCAGCAGAGCATTAAGTCAAAATGAGGGAAGGGGCTTTGACTCAGGTCCCAAGCAATGATTACTTTTCAAGGGCATAGAACTCAAAGGAAGAGGATTGAGGTCATGGATTAGGAGAAGAAACAGATGGAAGAATCAGTTGACTCATATCCAGAAATAGTGACAGAGAAAGCCACAGAGATGTGTGCTTCACAGATTTCTGCAGAGAAATTGGCCTCTGATGATTTGGGAAGCAATGTCAGAAATCTGAGGAGGTTTGGCAGAGGCTGATGAGAAAGCAAAGAAGCCAGTAAGTCCTCCGTAAGTGTTTAACCTTCACGAGGTACATTTAATACGATGGCAGCTTGTAGAACTGACAAGCTTTAGGTATTCCTCTAGGCACCTGCCATCCAACCCTACAGGAGCTGTACAGGAATGTGTCAGAACTTGACTCATAGTTGGTATGCAAATTAGATGAAGAGATAGAGAGGCAAAATTCCCAGTGGCTAACAGTTCAGTACAGACCCAGGCTGACCTTTGCATCAAGTGAGAAAGACTAAAATGTGCCATAAATGAAAAATGCCATAAGACAAAATAATTGTCTTCCACTTACTGATTCTAAGACTGAATTCCCATGAGATGGATTTCTCAGAGAAAAAAAGGGAGGGGAAGAGAATGTCAAAGGTAAGCATCTCTTGTATTGCATGCGGCCTGTAAAGTGTCACTCAGTACTGACATTTTCCCTTATTGGTCTCATGAACACTACAAGTTACACATTATTTTCTTCCATCATGAAGATGAGAACATGAACTCGGAGGACCTTCAACACTCATGTAGCTATGATCACAAAGAGGAGGAGACCAAGTTTGATCAAAGGATCTGATTCTAAAATTTTTGTTCCTTCAAAATACAAATGCCCACTGTCAGTGATACCTTTCTGCAGAATCCAGCTATGTCTGCTGGGATTTTATAGATAGTGACAGAGGGAAGATCTTGGTGACATTCAAAGAGGAGGATGCTGCTCAGGAAGTCACAATAGCCATGGAACAGCATTGTGCCTAATATTCAAACAACACAGGCAATAGTGAAGAGAATTCCTGTATAGACGGTGACCTGCAATACGAGATAGGAGCCCTGATAATAGGACTCCATGCTTTCTAACTGGCAATAATCATGTACCCCTCTTGACATGAAAAGATACATTGGATTATATAGTACTCAGACTCTCTATGTCTTAAGACCATTTTCTAAAAAATTCTTGGAAAGATTTATCTAGATTAAAAATCATTGGAGCTCTGCTTACTAAAGATGTAGAAGAAAGAAGTTTAAGGAAAAATGCTCATCAAAGCAAAACAATAGTAACAGTATTGTTAAAGAGTCACACCATACTTTCTTCATCCATTCTTCAACTGAAGGGCATCTAGGTTGTTTCCAGGTTCTGGCTATTACAAACAATGCTGCTATGAACATAGTAGAGCATATACTTTT